TAACAGTCTTCAATACAAAGAACAGAACCTTACTTGCTGAAAGCACAGAAGATTTAAAGCATCTACTAATGAAAATAGAAAAATACAACCTTCAGAATAGATTACACTTCATGGTAAACAAAATGAAAATTCTTACAGCTGGACCAATAACAATATTATGATAAATAGAGAAAAGTTTTAGATTGTCACAATTTCATTTTACTTAGATACACAACACTCATGGAAATAGCAGTTAAGAAACCTGGTTTTTTTTTTTTCAGCAAATTTACTGCAAAAGCATCTCTAAAGTGTTAAAAAGCGAAGATGTCACTTTGGGGACTAAGATGCACCTGACCCATTTTTAAGCACCTCATAATCATGTGAAAGCTGGACAATGAATAGGAAAGAGCTGAGAAGAATCAATGCATTTAAATTCCGGTATTGGTAAGGATATTGAGATTACCATAGAGTGCCCGAAGAACAAATAATTCTGTCTTGGAAGAAGTATAGATAAAATGTTCCTTAGAAACGAGGGTGGAGAGGAAGTGACATGTGATCAGGAAGTACCAATTCCCGAAGGATGGCATGAGACTTAGTAGAGTGTCATCCCCAAAGAGAAAGATCCTCAACCAGATGGATTGACAGAGCGGTTGCAACACCTGGCTAACGCATAATACAGTTTGGGAAGGTGGGCAGGACCAGAGCATACTCCTGTTGTACCTAGGGTCACTGTGAGTTGGAACTCACTCAAGGACACCTAACAACAACAGCAATGGTTTAAAAATCTCAATTTTAAGTGTTGTTTTTCTGTGTGACAGTTGCTGGACCTGTTCATGCTTTAACTTTTGACTGACTCCACTCTGCGACAAAATATTTCATTCTCAATTTCCATCATAAACATCATCAACCAACTTTTATGATTATGCTAAACTGGTTGCATTAATTTCAATATTCAGAAAGAGAAACCCATGGCTAGGCTGGTGGGGAAAAAAGATATTCCAGGGTAATCAGAGAGAACATAGCTCTGCTGCCATCTTGAGTTTGTGACCAGGTGATGGGTCAGTAGTCTGGTTCACACTAGGTGGTGCAAACACTTACTGTGTTCAGCTGGCAACCAGAAGCTGGAGGTTCAAGTTCACCTAGAGTCGTCTCAAAAGAAAGTCCTGGAAATCTACTTCCAAAGACCAGTCACTAAACCTAACAGAGCACGTATCTATTCTGACACACTTGAAGTGAACTAGAATTGACTCAAGGACACGTGTGATACACATTATGCTGTCATTATAACACGTAAGGGTAAGTAGGCATCTGGGAAAACACAAGAAGGGATTCAGAACAACAGTAAGAGTGGCTGAGTGGGTTAGTCTAGTGAATGTCATTCATCTCTTGTTCAATCATTTCATATTCTCCCACATTTGAGGAAAGAACTTGTGCAAGAGTGGTATGTATTCTCTCGTGGTTCCAGTGGGGTGGGAAGGAGGAAGCAGGGAGCGGGGCGGCTGTAGGGGAGGACCCGC